CAGGATGGCCAGCACTGCAGAGACATCGACGAGTGTCACGAAGTAGGTGGATCAAGAGTGTTAAAAATTTAAAAGAAAACGATGCAGAATAACCTAATTGAAACGAACAATTTGAATCAATCGTGTTTAGATTCCTGGACTCTGCCCATCCCCAGGAAAGTGTCAGAACTTAATGGGATCTTACATATGCACTTGTCCACTCGGTTACGAGTTGGACCACACGAGAAAGAAGTGCGTGGGTGAGTAAAAAAGATAAAATAAAACGCAAAATAAAAACCGCAAAATGACAAATTCGAATGATTAACACGATGGAGATGTACAAACTAGACGTGGACGAGTGCGTGACGACCGAAGAAATCTGTGAAAACGGGCGGTGTATCAACACGGAGGGTGGAGTGATCTGCGAGTGCCCCGTCGGATACAGATTGAGCGACAAGCCGAACTCGATGAGGTGCATCGACGTCAGGGAGGATCTGTGTTTCGACCGATACGTGGGCCACCACCTGAGGGGCCGATGTTCCTTCCCCAGAACGGGGCCGATGACGAAGAAACACTGTTGTTGCACCATGGGCAAGGCATGGGGGAAATACTGCGAACAGTGTCCTCCGGAGGATAGCGGTAATTAAATATAATCTTGAGGCGAGAAAGAGAACGATCTCGATCGAATTTTCTCTTGTTGTCTCTTTCGTCCAGAGGAATTCAAAAGGTTGTGCCCCGAGGGACCGGGCAGGGACGACACAGGGATCGACTTGAACGAGTGCCTCTTCATGCCGGACGCTTGCGCGGGTGGCGAGTGCATAAACACGGATGGCTCGTTCAGATGCGAATGCCCCTCTGGCTACATGTTGGACGCGAGTGGGAGACGGTGCGTGGATAACAACGAATGCCTGTCCCAGCAGAACATATGCGGAAACGGGACGTGCACAAACATCGACGGGGGTTTCGAGTGTTCGTGTAACGAAGGATTCACCCCGGGAGTGAACCAGATCTGCGAGGACGTGAACGAGTGTCTCGAGCTGGGCAATCAATGCGCCTTCCGTTGCCACAACGCCCCTGGCTCCTTCAGATGCATCTGCCCTTATGGCTACACTTTGGCTCCCGACGCGAGACACTGCATAGGTCTCTTATCTTCTTCTATATTTTATTATAGTAATATAGTCAAGTATAGATCCAATTATTTTCAATCGTAATCGATTCGAAACACGCGTTCATCCCTTGTTCCAGACGTGGACGAGTGCGCGACCCCTGCGAACAATTGCAAGTATCAATGCAAGAATCTCATCGGCTCGTTCATGTGCATCTGTCCACCTGGGTACCAACAGATCGGTATGACCGACGAGTGTAAAGACGTCGACGAATGCGCGATTAATTCGGGCTTGTGCCGAAACGGGCAATGCGTGAACGTGGAGGGTAGTTATCAGTGCCTTTGCTACGACGGCTTCGAGCAGAGTCCGGATGGGAAATCTTGCATAGGTATAGGAATTAAGGAATAACGAAAATGCATCGAAAATGTCGCTATGTGTTGTATTTTTTTAGACCGTAGAATGGGTTACTGTTTCCTGCAAACGATCGGTGGTAGATGCACAGCGAGAACTTCCGATCTGAAGACGGTGACGAAAGCGGACTGTTGCTGCACTATGGGCGCAGCTTGGGGACCCCACTGTGAGATTTGCCCTACGAAAGACTCCGACAATTACAACGAGCTATGCTTGGACAAAGGTTTCTCCGTGAACGGTCAAGGTACGTGCGAACATTTCTTTCTTTTTTTAATAATGATAATAATAATAGATTCATCGTAAAAATTTCTTTTTCAGACATCGACGAATGCAGAACCATCCCTGACCTGTGCAAAAACGGATTGTGCATCAATACTCTGGGCTCTTACAGATGCGTCTGCAATAAAGGGTACAAGGCAGATAAGTCTGGAACTCAATGCGTCGGCAAGTATTTCTTGTCCATCGTGAAAAAAATATCGATCAAATGAGATATATATATTTATATCGAATTTCAGATATAAACGAGTGCGAGTTAACACCAAGGCCGTGCAAGTACAACTGTCAGAACACGGAAGGAAGTTTCATCTGTTCCTGTCCGGCCGGTTTCATTTTGAACCCTGATGGCGTCAGCTGTAGAGATCTGGACGAGTGCGCGACAGGGAATCATCTGTGCCAACAGAACTGCATCAACACTCAAGGAAGCTACACTTGCGGCTGCCAAGAGGGTTACACGCAAGACGGAGATGCTTGTCACGGTTTGTCAACGTCTAAACGAAATCTTCGATATTGCGCCCGTTCAATCCCTTCGATTATTCGAATCTTATATTAATCGTTTGCAGACATAAACGAGTGTGATCAGCCCGGAACCTGTCCGAAACCGGGCACCTGCATCAATACGCTAGGCAGTTTCCGGTGTATATGTCCCAGAGGGTTCAAGCTCGATCAGTCTGGAAGATTTTGCATGGATCAGAACGAGTGTGCCGATGACAGCACTTGCGAGCACGGTTGCCAGGTGGCCACAATGATCATCCAGTTTCTAAAACTTTCCCCTTTCCTCTTTTCTTTGCGCGCGACTGTGTAAATTCGAAATTAATTTTTCAGAACTTTATGGGAAGCTATCGTTGCGGGTGTCCGGAAGGATTCGTTCAACATCTTTATTATAACCAGTGCATCGACGAGAACGAGTGCAACACGTCCCCGTGCGGGGACAACACTTGCATCAACACTATTGGCAGTTACAAATGTGGTTGCCCGGATGGTTACCAGTTCGACGGCAATTTGCAAATTTGCGTTCAGGTAAGTTTTCCATTTCGAACGAGTAACAATCGTGATCGTTGCTTGGATGATAGAAAAAAAAGGGAAAAAAATATTCGATGCACTTTAGGTGAGCGCCGGATGCATTGGAAGCCCTTGCGCCTTCGGTTGCACCCCTAACGGGGCAAATGGATTCATCTGCGGATGCCCTACAGGGTATCAACGAATTGGACAGGTTCGTCATCGAGGGAGAGGGAAAGAGTGGATACTTTAATGTTACTTTTATTTATTTTCTTTTTTTTTTTTTGATCTCCAATGATCAGGGTCACTGTTTGTCCACGATTAATCCACTGTCGCAAGGACACTTTGGCGAAGACATCAGCAGTGCACCGACATTCGTGATAAATCCAGATCCGTATCACATACCGCCTGCGGATGACAAGACAATATCGACGGAAGGTTGCTTTTCTTGCAAGGTGATCTTATCGATTGTCTCATCGAGTCGTTGGAATCGACAAAGAGAAAGAAACAATTATTTTCTGTTCCGAAGGTTAACGGGAAAGGAAGGCACAGAAGATATTTGCGAACGAAATCAATGGATCAAGAATTGATCGCACGGAGGCACGAAATTATGAAGAGACGGTTCGTCAGATCGGCGAAGAGGCATCATCATGGGGAAGAGTATATCCTCAAGATCAGCCTTCGACAGACCAGGCATCGAATGAGAATCATCAAATTACAACCGGCTGTCAAGGTTCATTTCCTTGTCAATATCAATTTCTTTTTTTTTTTTTTTTTTTGTTGCTCGATCAAAACGTTTCTTTAATTTTAAGAATTAAAAACAACGATCGATCTTGAACAGATAATTTATTCTGTTCGCAGGACGAGAACATGGAATACACGATAATCAAGGGGAACGACGACAATCATTTCGAGATCGTGAACGAGCACGGAATTTCAGCCCTCCACTTCCGCAATCGATTGAAGGAACCCGGCCAATTCCGATTGATGATACACGGACGTCCACGAAACGGTATAAGCGAGGAAAACGAGGTCTGGGAAAGGCCTCTCACCTTCAGAGTACACTTAATAGTGACCGAGTAATTCTTAGGGAAATCGATGTTGCTCGACGTTTCGGTTCTTTTCTTTAGTCAATTTCCACGTTGAACGCCGAAACGAAAGCGATTGGGAACGAGAGATTGCCGGGCTGAGTATTATACTATATATATATATATAGGCACGATTCCATTTCTCGAATTAGGAAACGCTTTGAAAATTTATGTGTTCATTAACACATAGCCTTGACTTACGTCGTCTCACTGCCAAATAATTATCCCTCTCACTGTGTTTGCTATGTAAAATAATAAATCTTTAACACTGCCTCTGCTTTACTCGTTTTACATTTTTATTCGTTTTTCTTTTCTTTTTTTTTTTTTTTTTTCTACGATAGATATACATATGTATATTTTTCAAAAGTTTCGAAGTAACAAGAATATTTTACGTAAAAAATGATAAAAAAAAAATAAATAAATAAACAGAAAAAGAATAAAAAAAGACAAGACACATGGAAATACGAAATCTACTATCTTCAGAATCTCTGCCTTAATTTTTTTTTGTTTTTTAACTGCCCGCAATAATATGTTATAACACGTAGAAATAACACTTTTTAGGAATGTACAAAAGAAACGAAACAAACTTTTCTATTTTAAACCTAAGTGAATGAAATGTATACATACACAAACATAGCTTTATATATATATATATATATATATATTTATCATACGTTTATAGTCTACTAGCAGACAAAACGAAATAGATACGAATAGGTGCGTGGAGATATTATGGATCGTACGTTTATCGAGACTTAAACGAGGAATATCATCAAATATAAATTTGATATTTCTTTCAAATCTGCATAAATATCCATATCTTCTCCCGTATCGACCTCGTTCCACGATGTGCCTTTCAGGATGATGAAACGAAAAGAGAATTATATAAGAATACTAATCCGTTGATCGATCCGAAAAAACAACATTTTGTACAATTTAATTAATAGCCCTTAATTAAGCGACTATTGCGATCGTTCTTACGGCATATATGTGAATAGAGACTATGACGGATAATTTTGTACAATCGGTGCGGATTACGAACATTACTTCACCCGACACAATGGTTCACAAATATATGTATTATAAATCTGCACCCTTTTATCAATTAATAATTAATCCTATCTCTCTTCTATTTATTAATTTTTTTAAAATTTATTTAATTTTTCGTTAACAGACCAAATTTGTACGACAGGTCGTGTGTGTAAATTTGGCCGGGATAAAGCACGCAAGATGGAAAATTCTTAATATTGATCGAATCGGGATAATTTTGGGGCGACAAAATGAATCCACCGTGCCTTTGATACCGTACGCCGTCCTTGCCCCAAATATCCTTCTCAACCACTTTCGGCACCTGGAACTTACGTTATACATTCGAAAGAAAATTTTCAAAGATTCGTAATTCGTGGGATCGAGGTTTAGTTTTAAAATTTAAAAAATGGTTCTAACTGGATCCATGCAGTCGCAGTATTCTTCAAAGTCGGGCGGATATTTGCGACCGAAGTCCGGCAAATCGTTTCCGGTGGAGAACCGTAACCCCGGGTGATTCGAATATAACTCTAAAGTTCTTCCAGACCCGGGATGAATAATTCTTCGAAGAGGAAAGGGGGGGAAGAAAATAAATGTGAGAATTATATCTAATAATAATTCAAAATTCAACGTGTTCCAATAGATCACTGCTACTAAATTTTTCTAACAATCAAAGAAATTTATTCTAATTTACTGTATGAAATGTAAAAAAGAAAAAAATTAAAAATTATTTAATTAATTTCTCTTTTTTAATTAATTTCTCTTTTCCTTACAGTTACGAAATTAATGATCAATCAGTGTACTATTCACTGATATTTAGCATATAACGGATAATCAACACAAGATCGAATAACGGAAAAAGATTGAGCGAAGAGAAAAATTAAGAATTAAGAAACGTACTTACCTAGCGTGGAAACGATAAAACCAACTGTTGAAGTTGGTTATGCAAAGGTTCTGGTTGTAACCACCCCCCGGTATGATGTAAAGTCTTCTCTTGGTTAACTGAGTCGGTAAGCGTAGGTCGAATACCGTACGATCAACCGGATATATAGCACCTGTCGGCAAATCATTTATAATATTCGTGAAGGTCCAGCTACCAGCGTTCAACGAGATTACGTGTTTTCTCAATTCCTTCGGACCGGTAGCCTGGAAAAAAAATATCGAAAAATAAAAAATTTACTCGACGATTATCCTTTTCTTCTTTACACACCTTCCTTAAAGTATGTAAACGAAGATTCGCAAGAAAGATTCAACAGTGTATAAACTTGGAATTTTAATTTACAAATTTCATAATTTCGTTAATTAACTTATCGATTGAAAAATATTAAAGTCGAATTAAAAAAAAAAAAAAAAAAAAGTGTAATTCGTTTTCTATCGATTAATAATGAAAAAGATAATTGGATTAATCCGATTCTCGAATACGAGAGAGAAACGTTTAAGGAATCAAGTAGATAACGACTTTACATGTCCAGCAAGATTCATCAAACAATTATTAGTAATGTTAACAGGTGTCGGTTCTGTAGCGCAAGCGCGGATATTTATGATTAACTGATTATCATCCGTCCAGGAATATTTAATCTGCGTAAGCAGATCGCCCGGATATCCCTCGCTGTTTCGTGAACTCGTATGGGTCATCACCTGCATTATCGAAAACGTAGGAATAAATCGAAGAGCTAATCATCCTATCGTCGAATATATAAATTTCCCTACCACGTGCTTCTTGAATATGTAAGAATTCCAATTAACGTTATCGAACGCAATGAAACCCCCGTTGTAATGGCTCATGCTATATTTGTCGTTGATGGTCAAAGAGTAATCCTTGTTGTCAATCTTCACTTTGCCCATAGAAATTTTATTCGCGACTCGGCCAATCGTGCTCCCTATGTACCTGTTCTTCAAATATCCTGATTATATTCGTCGCGAATTGTTACGGTTGTTATCGACGGTTGGACAGGTTTCGGATAGAAAGATATTACTCACCCTCCAGGTCGTCGAATCCTAGAACAACGTCGCCCAAAATGCCCGATTGATTTGGTATCTTGATGGCTTGGATAGTAGCGCCCCAAGATATCAATTGCACCGACGCTTTGTGCTTGTTCGTCATTGTGTACCTTGTGTGTGTGAGTGTGTATGAGATAATACGGGTGAAGAATGTTAATAAAGGAAAATGAAACTTTGCATTTTACCTTCGAACAATTTCGTACGGTTGATTGTGTTTATTGCGGGCAGGCCTAGGAATGAAGCCGAAACCGTCTTCCTCTATAAACGTTTCCGCCAGGGACATGGTGTAACACGAGAATTTATCCCCCCCTTTTCCCAACGATTTAATCTACCACGAGCAATTTAACACGAGCATTTGCATCCACACACCATTTCAATTTCCCGACTTTTAACAAAAAGCCATTTATTACTAATCTTTTTTATTTCCACAAAGAATTTTGACCACGGATCGCGCAACGAGGTTACGGGGCCGAAATACCTGTTCTAAATTGCGGCAACTTCGCGTCGAAGAGGAGAAAGAAGAAAGCGAGTCGTGGAATCGAAAGATCGTTCTGAAAGAAAGGATTTTTTCGAAAAAGAGGGGAAGAGGGGAGGCAAGTTTTTTCCCCTCGTGAAAATAAAACGCGTATTCATACGCGTCGAAGAGGCGAAGAATTCGTGAATTCATTACGAACCGATCTGAATCTCTTTTTTTTTTTTTCCGTGATTCTTAATCACCTCCTCCACCCTTGAGAGAAATCCTCGAAAAGAGAGAAGTGTCTTCTCGAGCCGGGGAAAGGAGAGAAAGAAACGCGAACGCGTCGTCGCAAAAGTGTCATCAATCCCACAGAAGGAGAAGAATTCTCGATTTCGTGGAAAAGAGAGAAGAGAGAATCGGGGGGGGGGAGCGGCAAACCTCGAGCAAAACCCATTACGCGAAATCAGGGTATTATCACGGTTGCAAGCGAGCGACACAAATCCGACACAAACCGCGTCTCTCGTCGTTTTAACGCTTCGTCACCGTTATGACGAGTCATCCATCCCCCCACGTTTCTTCTCGTCGCGAAGGACAGAGACAAAGAACAGAGAGAGAAAAAAAGAGAAAGACGAAGAGAAGAAGAAAAATGGAGGGAAGGCATCGGCCTTATCCCCCTAGGAGGACCCCCTCGCCGATTCTTTATCTCGGGGTAGGCGGCAGCCGGCTGATCAGTCTCAATTCCCGCGAAACGTTTCGAGGAACCGGTGGAAATAATTACATTAATGGCGTCGGGAGAAAGCCGTTGGATACATCGGTGGATGCCCACCCCTCCCCTTGGCGTTTGGCTCTTCCTCGAGGAAGAGCTTGTCCTCCTCCCCCTCCCCTCAGCCCCGCGCCAGTTTCAATAGCGAAACACGGAACCGACCGGAATAATGCTCCACCCACGGGCTAAGGTACACGAAGCCCACCCCACCCCCTACCCTTTGCCTCTTTGCACCACCACCTCGCACCTCCCTCGCAACCCACCTCCTCCTCCTCCTCCATATCCATCCATCCATCCATCCGTATCCACGCACCCCCTCACTTTCTTCGCCGACAATGCATAATGCCATTCTGCCGCGGTAACGGTGACAATGGGCCCCGCACGTCCTGCTGGAAAGTAATTATCTTAATGTCGACGAGACCAGCGGCGACGAATGGTGAAACACTCCCGGAACGACGGCTGCCTTCCGTGCGAGGAATCTCTCTTGGCTTGGTTACTCCAACCTCGCTTTTGCCCTCCCACAACACACTGTTGTGTATCGCTCCCTTTTCCTTTTGCCTTCCATCCATCCATCCTTCCTTCCTTCCTTCCTTCCTTCCTTCCTTCCTTCCTACCTTTCCAAGCTTGCCTGGCTTGCTCACTGAGCTTGGAAGGGGGCGAATCGTTGTTTCGCTCTTGGATGCGGATTGTGAGCGGGACAATATCGATGCCGTGAACCGTTCCCGCGATATCGTGACAAATCGCGTCGCAACACGCGGCGGGATTGTCTACTCGTTGATGAATAACGAACGCTTGGAGGCGACGCGTTAAGACGAACTTTCGTGTCGTTCACGTTGGTGATCGTTGTCACTGTTCATTCGGAATTGAACGGATAATAGGCGAGGTAATTTATTCTTTCGATTCGTGGATAATATTTTAATTGTTGCTTTTTGTAGCAGCACGTTTTCTTCTTTTCTTCCTTCTTTTTGTTTTTTTATTATTAAGAAGCAAATTGATTAAAAGTTATTGAACTATATGTGCATCTTATTGCCAAGATCAATTTTTCAGAACGCGGAGAATCGATCGGTTTTTCGATAATCGAATCGAATACACTTGAACACTGTGCCCAGTTGTCCAATTTTTTATTTCGTTACACGATCAGTTTCAATCTAAAAATCAATCAAATCTTGCCAATTTCTATAATATAAAGCGATATTGACCGGAAGAAATTTTGATAAATCTACTCGAGATACTTAAAAACGGGCCGATAAATCGTATTAAAATCGATGGTGGAAGGAGGGAGAGAGGGGTACGCGACAGCGTATAGCCCCGTAATTCCATTGGTGTGCCTGCAGGCGAGAGATCCTTTGTAATCGACACAGGGGATAGGAGCGAGAGGGCTAGAGAAAAGGGGAGAAGGAAGGAGGAAAGAGGAAGAAATAAAAAGAGAAAAGGAGGGGGGATAGGGGGAGAAAGGAAGAAAAGTGCGTTTTACCGTGACCAGCCGGATCGTATTATTCCCTTCTCTCTTCGAATCTCAATTAGTCATTACGTCTCACGGGTTGGCGTAGCTTCGATGCCCTCCTCGAAACTCTCCCCCGACCGTCCGCGGCTGGTTTCTCTGCATTAATTGCGTCTACGTCGGTCTCTACGTGCCACCCCCTCCCTCGATCCGTCGCCACTCGGCCCCCTTCCGGAGCCGGTGACGAAGGGGGGTTGTTTCGACAAGGATTAGTGTCGGCGCCACGAACCGCATAATTCGCCCCCGCTCCAACGTGGAAAATCAGATCTGCGGCCTGACTAACGCGGAGAATCGCTCCCTCCCCTTTCCAAGACGTTGTTTACGTATATAGTAAAATCTGGTGTTCGCTTTGTAATGATTCCCAGTCTAGCGTTATGCGCGATAATTGATCGTTACGAGCCCGTTTGTGCGTGAGGCTTTGCCGAAGTAGCTACGAGAGGGGGTGATCGTACAACGAATCTCCGATACTCCCTAAGCTATTCTGATATTCGAAGCGTTTAGCGTGTTCAAAATCTTGTTTCGTTGATAACATTTATTGTTATGTACGTTTATGCATGTCCCGTATTCCCTTTGAATTATTTAACGATAATTAATTATACGAGGATATATTTTTATACGCGTAAACGTGTAAATTAGTTTAGGATAATTGAAGGCTGTTTCTATTATTACGTTATACAACTACCTATTCCGCTTAACGTAACTTAAGTTTCATAATTGAAACACCCCGTAACCGTAAATAAAATCTTTTACAATCGAAATGAATACCGTTTACAACGAGACAAACATTTCGTTATTAATTTAATTATAAATGGCGTATATGATGGACAGACCTTTCAGAATCATATTCCAGAAACGTATATATATACATTTATCGTAAACGAATTTCAAGAAACGACAATATCAGTATTTTAAATTATAACCAATTATAACCATTTTCATTTCAATTGCTTGAAAACCTCAGGGCCTACCAGGTTCTACAAGAACAGAGAGAGAGAGAGAGAGAGAAAAAGTCTCTATCGCCGTCTTACATCAAGAACCACCCCGTAGAGTCGCACGTGTGCACACGCACGCACGCGATGGGTTTCAGTTACGTCGAACGCGTTCTCGGCTGGGTGCCCCAATCCCGATGCACGGTGCGCCCACTTCACCCTCGGCATCCAAGCCGCCCAACAACCTCCCCCCCTCTCCCTCCCCCGCCCACCCGCAAAACCGGAGAGGCAGTCGCTAATTACGCAACGCGTTCGAGCGTGTACGTCGAGGGGGTGGGCGACCGTCACCGTGGGCCCTCGTGTATGTATCCCTCGTCCACCCCCCCTCCCTCGTCTCAACCTTCCTTCCTTCCTTCCTTCCTTCCTTCCTTCCTTCCTTCCTTCCTTCCTTCCTTCCTTCCCCTCGTGCGCCACCCCTCCCCACGCCACCCGTCTTGTTCCCTCTTATTAACAGCCGCCTTTCTAGGTAGTACTTTCACGATTGCCTATAATCGGCCCAAAGTACGTTCTGCGATTACGTTCTGCCCCACCTGATTCCGGGGGCCACCCCTCTCTTTCTCTCTCCCTCCCCTTATCAGCGCCACCTTTCAACCGTGACGAGAGCTGTTGGGGCTCAAGCAACGTGAGCTCGCGGATCCGTGTCGACTTAATTTGCGAGGATCAACGTTGAAACGTGGCGAGGATAATCCGGCGCATCCGAATTACACGCTCGGCGTCCTGTCTGCCTGAACACCTGCGGATTTAACCGGAGGACGATTACTAATTAGTCGGGATTTTGCCACCCTTGGGTCAGAGAGAACTCAATCCTGAGGAGGAGGAGGAGTTTGGAAGCTGGAATACGTTTCGCGGATGGGTGGATGTGTTGATTATTTCTTGAAACGGGTATTCGATGATTCTTTTGTTTTCGAAAAGGTGGGCGAAAGGTGGGTTCGCCACCTTTGAATTGGGGCAAGTTCGTTCATTCCGTGGGATAGTTTGCTCGATAGTTTGGACTAATTTCCCTCGCGCGTACGTATAAGATCGACGGGCCTCGTTTCATTAATTAATTTCACTCGTTCGACTGATTTCGATTCGAAACTTGATCGATCGGCGACGAGTTGTTCAATTGAAATCGGACAAATATCGGGTGGAAGAGGAGGAGGATGGGTGGTTCGATAAGAATGTAAGAAATCGCGGAGGGGTAAAGAATTTTTTTGGAAGCTGGAAGGGGAGGAAGGGAAGTGAAAAGGGATAAATATATCATTCGCAGGCTATGTGCGCTCGTGAAATCGTAATCTCTATTAAAACAAAGCCTGCCATTGTTCGTACCCTCGCGCAATTCTCACGGCACTTCAATTCGGAACGACCTTGGAAATAACTCTCGACGGTGCACAAAAACAGAGTACCGAAAAAACGGATCTCGGACTCCATTCGATATTCAAGAAGATCGGGGGAGGAATTTAAAAAAAAAAGAAAAGAAAAAAAGGAATCGCTTTTTCCAACCGACGAGGATCGTAGTTGAAAGAACGTTAATAAGAGAGAGAGTGAGAGAGAGAAAAGGGGCTGGTTACGAAACGATTCAGTTCGCTAATGGCAATCGTTAAACGAGGACAACGAGGTTTTTCACGAGGTGCACACCCGAAGATATACCGTTTCCTCGGTCGAAGGTGGAGATGACGCAAAGCAAAATGGTGAAAAGGAGAGGATGACGCGGTCGGGGTGGAGGGAAGAGGGTTGGCCATACTTAAATTACCTAGGAAGCATCGGTGGCATTCATACGTGGGATAAGCATTGTCATCCCGGGGGATTGTCTCATAGACACCTCTCGCTGGCACGTGCTTTATGTCGTGGAGGGTGGCGGAGAATCGACGGCGAGAGAGAGAGAGAGAGAGAGAGAGAAGAGGGATAGCAGTCGAATCTTTATTAGGCAGATAACCGAGATGCGAGAGCTGCGTTATATAGATGCCCATCCACGCTGAACTGCCTCGTTTTATTCACTTCAATGCTTAATGGAATTGAGTTCTTGTAAGCGCTCTCGGCCCCACCTCGCCACCCCCTTCAGTCACCTCGCTCGCCCACCACCCGCAACTCCCTCCCGCCCCTCGAGGGGCGACGGAGGGAATCGAAGGGACAGGCAGAGGCGGAGGACACGAGATAATTGGTATTTTGTCTCGCCAAATCCTTTGTACCCCGAGTTTTAATTGACTTCGAGATTTTTCAATACCAATTTGCACCCAACTGCATACGGAAAGGGGGCGACCGGGGCCCTGTGTCGGTGGCGTCGACGACTCGTGTGCGTCCAACGTGAGCGTATATTTTCTCCAGGATCTAGGATCGACGGAATGGCGACCATCGCGAATTCTTTTTTCCCTCCTCCCCCGGAGGGAGGAAGGGTCCGGCTCCCTCCTCTTTCTCCTCTTCCTCCCCCTCCCCTTTTTCTCTTCCCGTTTTATTTTTCGCGCTTTAATCGCTTCCTCCCTCTGTTTACCGTTCTCTTATTGGCGCCACATCATCTCCTCCTCCTCCTCCTCCTCCTCCTCCACCCCCGGGTTCCGCCGCTTCGGCGAGCGCCATCGACGATTTTTTTAAACAGCAACGGATTTTGATAGCAGTTTTATTCCCGCGGATTCTCGCTATTATTACGAGGAGGACAATAGGGACGCAGCGATACACGATCTACGTACGAGTAAAATTCAGTGTACGAAACTCTTTAAAAATAATATTTCCTGAAATATTTCCGCAGAATCTTTCTTTGTAACGATAAATATATACATATATATAAATATATATATATATTAAACGGGAGGGGAAAAAATTAGCCCCGTTTGTTACGATCCCACGATACACGGTAGTATAATAATAAAGATCGTTAAGTTTGGAACGAAAACGGAATTGCCGAGCATGGTCGACCGCTTCGCTAGCAAAATGCTGGAGGAAGCTTAATCGATTATTCGAAAATCGAAGTAAAGAGACACCGCGGCGTACGCGCCTTCTCGGGCACAAAAGCACAAACGACTAATGCAGTTCACCGATGGAGAGAGAGAGAGGAGGAGGAGGAGGAGGAGGAGGAAGAGAGGGAGGGAGAGTCAGGAGCTTTTATTCGTTCGCATTGCTGAATGTCCTTTGGGAGCAGAGGGCGCGGTGAGTCGAGATTGGGAAAGGGGCACCGCTCGCTCCTTTCGCCGCTGTTGCTTTCCATTCTAATCCAAGTGCCTGTCGTCGAGAGATTTTTTTCCATTGTTCCTCAGATTTCCCACAGGAAAGGAACGGGCAGATTTCAACCCCATCGTTGTTTTTAAGGGGACGGGAGAAGGACGGCAATACGCGAATTCTGATTAATTACTCGACAAAACGACCCCCCGCCCCCCTCCCTCCCTCCCTCCCTCCCCCTCTTCCTGGATTAGTCGGCTGGCAAAGAATACTGGTGTGTTGATCATATTCAATTTCGTAATTGTGTCGGATCATTGACTCGATTGAACGACGATTGTTTATACACGTGATACAACGATTATTAAATTACGAAACGTAATTATCCAAGCTTCGTAATTTTTTTAAAAGTAATTCTGTCCCAATTTCAAGAGAGAAAAAAACTTTCAAACTTGTCTTGAATAAAATCAAAGGGATAATAAATTTTCGAATCTTGCCCTTTCACAGAAAATCACGCGCAATTTGAGCTCGATTGTTCACGAGATAAAAACGATTCTTCTTCGAATGGATCGAAGATCCTCGAGCTCGTTGACCAAGAATCCTCCGCATCGTCGTCGTCGTCGTCGTCGTCGTAGACGGGACGAGAAAGGGGATGGAGGGGGATGCAAGCATAACCAATTATCGCGCGATATCGCGCCGCCGTTGGCGTGCAAAAGCAGTACAGCGAACAGAGGTAGTCAATAACGGGGCAGCCTATACGCTATTTGTACTTCATCGTATCGAGGTAATCGATAATAATAATTGCAGCTCGCGGTCTCCGAGGCAGCGGCACCATCGGCAGCCCTCCTCGCAGTTGAGCCACGGCGCGGTATTATAGAGGGGTTGCTCGGTGTTGGCCCGGTCGGTGTGTCGGTGTTCGCCTATAGTGGGGGGAGAAAGGGTAGAAAAGGTAAGCACGCACCGAAGCGACCTCGACGAATGGCGTGAAGAGGGTCGGTTCGTGGGCGCGGCGTACGACGCTCTGCGTCGGTTCCGCCCTCCAAATCCAGGCGAACGGAGACAGTTGCGAGGGTAGAAAGAGAGGGAGAGAGACAGAGACGAAGAATGGATCCCTCCAGCAGGTCGCGGACCGGTCCTACGGGCAGTCCACGCTCAGTCAACACCGGTACTCCATTCGAGTACGTTCGACTATTTGCGACGCTCACTTGCACCCAAACGAAGGAAGACTTGGTCTCTTGTGTGTATTTTCCCTTCTCTCTCTCTCTCTCTCTCTCTCTCTCTCTTTCTTTCTCTCTTTCTCTCTCTCTCTCTCTTTCTCTTTCTCTCTCTCTCTCTCTCTCGCCCATATGCCGTATGTCGTAATCCCGTAATTACCGTGTCGCAATTTCCAAGGAACGGATTATAACAACACAACAAGGGGAATGTAAGAATTTATCGGATATTGAATGAACGTGAGGAGGAGAACTGTCAGCGAGCGCGATACCCGCTCGCTAGTGAGTGAAGTTCGACGGAAAATCGAATATTTTGTGCAAAGTTACGTAAAACGACACGTCGAAAGGTAATATAAAAATAATAAGGAAAAATTAAATCGAGAAATAGTGAGGGGGAAAAGGCAAACATGTTGAACTCTCATCAGCAACATCCCGGTTATGGATTCCTCTCCGGTATGGATCTGCACACGGTCCACCACGTGGGCCAGGACATGAACGTGGCCAATCAACCGTTAGCAGCGTCCCAGGAGCAACACATCAAGCGGCCGATGAACGCGTTTATGGTGTGGTCGAGGATACAGCGGAAGAAGATAGCCCTGGAAAATCCTAAAATGCACAACTCCGAGATATCGAAGCGGCTGGGCGCCGAGTGGAAGCTTTTGTCCGACACGGAGAAGAGACCGTTCATCGACGAGGCGAAACGTCTCCGCGCGATGCACATGAAGGAGCACCCGGACTACAAGTACCGTCCACGAAGGAAGCCGAAGGTGCCCGTTTCGGTGGTTCCAGGAGCGAAGACCACTTCCATGAGCCCGGCTGGCTTCCCCAGTTTCCCTCTGCCGCCATATTTCGCCGCACCTGCCGCCCCGGTGTCTCATCATCATCATCACCCTCACCCCCTCGATTATCCACCTCTGCCGTCGTACTTTGGCTCCGCCTTCGATGCCGTCCACCTGAGCAAGCTGGTGGCTGGTGGCGGTGGAACGGGGTCCTCCGCGTCGGGCAGCGCGGCCGCCGCGGCGGCAGCGGACGCGGCCAACAACAACGCCGCTTCCGCCGCTGCCGTCGTGAACAGCTTCTACTCGGGCTTCTACTCGACGCCGACCACACCAGGCAAAGCGTACCCGTCAACGGCCTCCCATCTCGGCCCGCTCTTCCCCCCTGGACACCACACCATGGCCGCCAACGCGCCTCATCCACCCCTCATGTTCTCGTCGTCGACGACCGGGTCGGGCAGCGGCGTGACGACCACCAGCAGCCCGGCAAGCAGCCCGAGATCCACTCCATCGTCCCAACAAGTATCCACGGCAACGTCATCGACCACGCTGGATCTCGAGCAACTGCGTCGGCCAGTCTCCGTAATATTCTAGATCGTCCGAATCGTCCGTCTGTTACAGATTCCAATGAACGTTGATCGTGAATGATCCAAGTTTCGTGCTCGTGAAACGAAATTGGAAGATGATCCGTGGTGTACGAATAGGGAACAGGTAGAAGGGAGGGGCGGGAAGAAGGAGAGTTCAGACTCGAGTTTATATATATATAGGAGATTCGGAAATCGAGCATTCCAACGAGCAGATCTAGTTTTTAATATAATATATCGATATTTTAAATATCGTAAACGTGTAGTATCTTGTCGAAGTACGCTCTTCTCGTCGTTTCTTCGGCAAAATCCGTGGACATGCTCCTTGTGCGTTCTATCGAGAAACAACCATCATCGCATATGGTGTGTATCGGCGTGCGGAGATCTGACGAACGGGGAAAATTCTGTGGGAATTTTTTTTTTTTTTTCTTTGCCTTCGACGAAATTAGCTATGCCGCGGACTAAATGGGGAGGGGGGGGGGGGAGGGGAGGGACATGGCGATTTTCAAGGCCGATTCATCGATCGATCGAGGTTGTCGTGAAAGGCTTGCCGGCAACCACGCGGATAATTGAATTAGCATATTAATGCCCTGGAACAAAAGAGCCATTTAGAGCCTGGTTTCGTTTTTGTTTTATTAAAATGGGTTTCATTGTGCGCTACGATGTTCGGTGAATAGATCCTCCTCCCTCGTGGTGATAATCTGTATTGTTTCCAAATAATGTTTTCTAATTACGGATGTGCCTTTTATATGATTTTTCTCAAAGGACAAGGACACGAGCGATAAAAAATTCTGTTCATTTTCGCATGTACGATATCGATAATTTATCCTTATCTCAAAAAAAAAAAGCTAGAAGCTTTTAAATGAAATTAAATTAAAATTAAAATTTCTTGAATTTCGTGGTACCATGATTTTGAGAACGCGTTCTTGGATCATAGAATTGATTTCTGTGCGATAAGGATAAAATCGAAATTGGAAACACTTTTAACATCCGTATTAACGTGTTCGAGGGTCTGTTTCATTTTTATCTGGAACCTTACGAGCTATCGTTCTTACTTTATCTCGATTTCGAACAACTCGGCTCGCTCTGAACGAAAAATCCCGATTGATTTTGCACCCCGATGCAGATCCCGTTGCTTATCGTTCGTCGTAATGTATCATTTTTACGAATGTAAATAGTTCGTAACGATAGACGATTCGCGTACGTTAAAGAACGAGCCGAAATTTAGCTCTGTAGCTTCTAGAAACTAGTTTTTTGTCGGGCAATGATGGCTCGTATCATATTTCATATTGTTATTGGTAAAGTGAGTTTCCTCGACCGTTCTCGACTCGACCACTCGAAAATTTAAGAAATTTTTTCGCGAATAAATGTGTTTAGAAAAATATTCGTTGAATATTCGTTGAATATTCGTTGATTAACGAAGTTCGCGAGTAGCAAAAGATTATTGCGTATTTCGTCCAGGGCACAGAACGAGGTTTAATTTAGAAAAAAAATTAAATCGAATTTATGTTTTATGTATAAAGAGAATGTACGACGTACAGAAAATGGTTCGAGAAATTGATTTATTAATTGAGGACGCTAGCACGCGTTAGCAATGAACGATCAAACCTCAACGATTTATATTATTTAATTGCATATATAATTTATTGTATAATTAAATTGTATATTTATATTTAAAAAAAAGTGATGGAAAATTTTTTTAAAATATACATATGGTTAAAAAAAAAATTTCTTGAATTGTTTTACGTTCGTTGTTTGTTATTATTTTATTAAGCTCTTCTCGAAAGCTTCTGTTTTTTTTCGCCTTTTTTGTTGGTATATAAATCGGATCAATTGTTAACTGTGATTTTGTTAGGCCGTAATAATCGCATTTCATCAAATTTCTTCGCGTTTGAGTCGAAACCTGACATTACACATTGTACGTGTTTTCTTTCTATTTAAAAAAAAAAAAAAAAAAGAAAAAAAAAGAAAAATGACAAATATCACAAGTAAAACCACAAAAAAAAAATTATATCTTTTATATTTATTAATAATTATGTTTATTAAACCCTTGAAAAAGGGCATTCGATATTGTTGCATCGTGAATAGAATCATTTGTATCGTGTCTGATATATTTATTCGTATTGCTGTTTTTATTTAATTTTTATCGCATTTATTGCATTATTATTATCTCCCCTCTTTTTCTTTGTGATTTTTTATTTTCATTTCTATTTCTATTCTTTTCATTTAAATTGCCTTGTAATCTAATTTATACGCAGCATGTAAATGAAGCATGTACTATATAAAATATATTATTATTATTATGTATAAATGTTATTCAGATAATTATTATAAAAGACGCTATAAAAGGAACGAAAACCAAAAAAGGATGAAAGAAACATAAGATTGTCAACGTGGTCATGATAAAATAAGTTATACATATACATATACATTGTATACATATGTACGTGAGCATGAATGTGTTTAAGCCAGATACAATTAGTATTCCATTATGAATGAATTGTTATTACTTGTTTGTATCACGATCGTGTGTAACGCGTCCATTCGACGCGAACGATGTTTGTTGAACGATCGATCGAAATTTCACGTGAGCGGATTTCATTCTAAAAAAAAAAAGAGAGAGAGAGAGAGAAAGAGAGAGAGAGAGAGAGAAATTAATCGTGATCTAACGAACAGAGAAAATTTATCACAGAAAACGACCGATGAATTGTCAAAATAAAAAAAAAAAAAAAAAAACAACGTATCTTGTCATATATGTGCAAATATTTATTATTATCAACGAATCAAAGTAATAAATGACTCTATCAATTTCATTAATCAACCTCTTCCCATCATTTCCCATCTTGGATCCGAATCCAATGAATTAAACGTAATAATTACCTCGTAATAATCAACGTGCCTAATTGAACAAAAAAAAAAAATTTCGAAATAAAATGAGAATCGTCTAAGATTAATATATCCAATCCCGTTGTAAATAGTAGTATCCCTTATCGCGCAACATCGACTGTCCCTTAAAAGTTTCTCATTTCGATCGGAGTGTTGCCATCGTCGTACGAAGTGAAAAAGATGGATATTCGATCGAGTGAGGGGCGCGGGGAGGTTCCCCCATTTCGAGATCCGTGCAGATCGATCGAGTGTCAGGTATCCAATGAATCCAAAGCGATCCGGGAATCGAGATCCTTTCGACGAGGAGACGGAAGGTTTCGCACGGCGAAACGCGCCAGCTGCATGACAATGGGGCCAAAGAGGCGGCCCAGAGAGAACGAAATTCGTAACCTCGAATTTCCTTGCGACATAGGAGAAGCCGGGGCGGCCATTCAAAGCCACCGGCCAGCTTAAGGGAAAAGAGAATGGAAAATATAAAGCGAGAAGAAAGCCGGGAGACGTCAGGTTCTCGTCAAAGGGCCACTCTCTCGTCGTGTAACACCCTTCCCTGTACCACCTATACAATTATAAAATATAAAAATTTTTTTTTTCTTCTTCTTCTTCCTCTCTCTCTCTCTCTCTCTCTCTCTCTCTCTCTCTCTCTCTCTCTCTCTCTACGCTCGTTCGGTCGGTGCATTGAAAAAGTCTCTCGTCCCGAATCGGTCGAAGGTGACCACCCTTTGCTTTCATGGGGCACAACACGAGGCGGAAGGTGGGAGAGGGATGGAGAGTCGATCTCCTTGTTCAACGTCACCCCAATGGGCATTGCGTTTCGCTATAACTACCCTCTGTTTAGACGCCAATTGTATTTGGCGCGGGGACCTTTTCACTCTTTTCACCCTGAAGAAACCCCACTGGCTCTGTTGGCCCGTTTCCTCGGTAGGGTGCGCACTTTCCTCTCTCTTTTCTCTTTCCGCTTCTCACTGGGTAGGGCCTCGTGTGTACATTACACGCGCTCTTATGCGTTCTCGCGTACCGATAACGGAGCGCCAAACTTCTTTTCCCTCTCCCCTTCTCGACCGCCCTTTTTAGTCGCTTCGCAAATCGCCTCCTTCGATTCTGACCGCCTGACCACTTTCAACGAAAAGCGAAAAGTTCGAGATCTTTCGATGTTGACGTAGAGAGTCTCGATTTTGGTATTATAATTAGTTTTATTATCTATTTATTTCGCCTCGCGAATAAATTTTATAATCTTTCGAATCGAAAATAGAGTTTGAGTTTGAATTCGACTCGAACGAAGAGGATTATAACATTTTCCAAACTGTATACCGGATAGAAATGATCTCATGAAACAACCCCTGGAGGTCACAGTTGCGCCGCAACTTCAACCCTTACGTAGCCCAGCATCCGTTGCCGAAAAGTCAAAAGAAGAAACTGACATAGGCCGAGCCTCGAACTAACGGGAAACAATCCACGGGATTGAGAATCGAGAGACTAGGGTGAAAAGAGGTTGGGAAGAAAAGCATTATCGGGACGAAAGTGGGGCCGGTCAGGCCCCTTTAACGAGATCATTGTCGGCGATGACTGGGTAGGCAAAAGTGTTTCAACGTACAAGCACTCGATTCCCGTTCCCATTGTTCTCCTCGAACGGGTTGAAACAATGTCCACTCGGACACGAGAACCTTCTCCTCCGGATGATATAATGCCGTTAACTGTTTTCGCGATTGCTGGACCCTGCCACTCCACGTCGCTATCGTAAATGAAAAAGTGGCATCCTCGACCGGGTTTGGGGAGATCGAGAAAAGATCTCCTTCATCGTGAGAGGGTGGTACACGTTTTCTCAATTCGTTTCCTCTTGACTCGGTCTCATTATTGAAGCGTCGTTCTTTGTATCTTTATACCATTGTCGACAGCGTTCATTGGACATTTGGTCGAAATGCAGTTCGTGAAATCGTGATACGAAGCTGGCATATATATATATATACGTTGGAGCCGCGACATATGCCACGAGAGTTACGACCGCGAGAGGAACAATTTTCAATAGAGAACCGTACCAAGAGATCGTTACGAGTGGAACTGGCTTCACGGCGGGATGATTAGTTAATTAAATGTCGGCGAAACGATCCCGTGCTCGAACCGCAGAATCCGTTTCGCGTTCGTACAAAGGTGTACCAAGGACGTTTGCAGGGAAAACCGGAAGCCACTCCGGTGCGGTTGAGGCTGATTGAAAAAGACGATGTCACGTGCTCGTTCCTTACGCCACCCCTTTTTCACCGCTAATGGATGTATTTCACTTTTTAACGTGCACGATGGAATATTGTGCAACGATTCGGTACCGGTGCTGCCATGGAGAATTTGCAATATTTGAATATTGAAAGGTTTCTTCAGGGAATGTTTTTTGCAATTTTAGAAGTCTTATAACTTCGATTTTAACTCTTTGAAATCATCTTTCTGATGATACTACTTTTGAAAATAGTTTTGGTCTTTTGTAATATTCTTTGGATAATATTTCATGCAAATCCATGGAAGAAAAATGAATAGAAGAATACGATGTTGCACGTGCGTTAGTACAGTGATAATCATCACAGGTGTCGCGATCAGACACATTTTGGGCATACTCCGCTTTATAGCAATTGCTTTATAACTCAAAAATTCTAATTTTTCAGATATTAATATAAGAAAGAGAGAGACGCATAAAAGATCGAATATTTGTCAAAGTAAAGTAGATACTGGACAAATTTAATCACAGGTGTGAGAAATTCGTGTATAACTTAAATAAAATAACATATAAAACCTTGAAAACTAAAGAGTTGGAACGATATAATTAACTAATGCATACTGCCTAAAAATATTAAGGGATAAAAAAGCGAAAAGTTTAGCCAAGAAAGGGTTAAGGGAACGTGTCGCATCGGATGTCTCTCGGCCGAGCAAAACTTTCAAAACCCCTTTTCCCCATTCAAAACGAAACTCCACGAACGAGAACTTCCGAACTAAATAATTAAGAAAACCACTTAGGTGGCCCTCTGTGGTGACACCCATAAAGGGTTCGACATTTATCAAGCGGCAGGCCGCTTTGCCATCGACTCGCCGATTGTCCCGAGGCGCGTTCGAATAGAGTCGTCGAAAACGCGCGGAAAGTCGGGGGCTTTCGACGAGTTTTCGGCCTTGTTTCCACGAGAGAACGCCGTGAAAAACAAGCCTTTCCCATTTCGAACAATGGCCGCACCGCCTTATTCCCGCGTGAATTTCTCAACTTCTTCCGCGCGACTGTTCTCCAACCGGGGACAATTATTTTCGAGCCCTAGTGTCGCTTGAAAACGACAATCGAATTTATTCCGTGGCAAGAAGTTTTCCCCGGTGAAAAGGAGAGAAGGGGGGGAGGAGAGGAGGAAACGTGGAATAATATATTTTTTCCTCTCCTCCCCCCTTGAAAAGTCCACGTTCGCGACCGAGAATCGCGTGAAACACAATCCGATGAATCGCTCGAATAAATTGCGGGTAAATTGCATTCAACTTGTGTCAATGCAACGCAAGACGTCGTGGTAACCGTTCCAACCTTGGTCATAGATCCGCGAGAACTGCGGGGAACAATGGTCGAAATTCACCGGCCACGTTTCCACCCCAGTTTTTATCGTGCATACAAAATCTTGGGGACAAACGATTAAAAAAGACTTTTCATGCTTCTACAAATTGTGTAAGAAAAATAGTATTGTAACGTTCCGATATTTTTACGCTCCGTTCGTAAACCGCGCCAACGTTGCATCGCATAAAATCAAGGGAACAACGAAAACTTCTTTTCATAACCGCAAACACCCTAACAACGAAGGAGAAAACCATTGCGAAAGAAGAGAAAGAAAAAAAAAAATTGAGCGTATTATTTAAATATATAAATTCGAACGCCATCTACGGCAGCCTACGCTATTAACTCATCGTTTCGAATAACGAAAACTCCTCGAAAATCGGCGCATAATTAAAAAAAAAAAAAAAAAAGAAATATTACTCGACTTGCTGTTACGCGAGCGGTAACACAATGGGTGGCATGGTTATAATAAACATGGCTCGCAGTCAGCGGCTTCGTAAAGATTTCGCGAGCGTTTACACGCCACAAAACGATGCTTTTTCCTTCCTCACTAATTTCTTCCCGGCGCAGGGGAACCAGCCGGTTTATACGTCCCTCGCCCGGCAATCCGTTTTTCCCTTCTGCACGAGGGCCCTCGTGCGACCATTTACGGGATATCTGCCGCGTATCAAGGAGGGCCTTTCATCCGGGGATGTCGCAGCGAGCTCTGCACGAAAGTCGGGCGATGCAATGGCCACGTCAAGTGCGTCGGGATGAATGCGAAACCCGTTCCAACCGCGTTTCTACCGACAATCAAACGCAGCACGATAATTTTCACCGGTGCCGCTCGCGATCCATACGAGGCAACCGTTGGTCGGAGCGAGACAGACGCACGAGACCGTTCAAGAGGAAGACGAAGACGCTACGGGGGGGAGGGGAGGTGAATGAGGGTCGCGCGATGCGGAGAGAAGAGAAAGGGAAAGAGAAAGGGATGGAGACGGAGGAAAGACACATTCTCTGTGGACACTCGCGGTTCTCGACTCTTTCGGGAAACGCATCATCCCTTGACCCTCGACCGCGGGGGCAGAGAAAGGAGCTCGTGAATGTAAACCTTTTAATGGCCTCTGCACCGGGACCCTTTTGAGAATTCCGCTTGCTTTTTTTTTCTTTTTTCTTTTTTTTATGATGAATAATCGCGACAGAAACCGCCTATACGCACATCCGCGCGTGTGTCGTGGATACAGCGTGAAAGATCAACGATGAGGTTACCGTTGGAGAGAAAATGAACCGTATCGTTCTAGAATTCGAATGGAGAATCTATTTTATATTAAGAGGAGAAATATATTTCTTTTTTTCTTTTTTTTATAATGGATAGTTCCAGAAAGAGGTACGCGAGAAATAATTTTCTATTTATTATCCGATTTTTTTAAAAATATAAGAAAATTAACGAGGATGGTGTTACCAAGATTATAATGTAAAACCGAATGCAATTAATAATGTAGTATTACAGAAAACGAGCGTTTAGTTCGTGAAAACGGCACTATCGACGAACAGCACTGTGCCGGGATCGCCCTTTAACCGTATAAAGCTTTGAAAAAACATTCGAGGGTTCGCGCATAAATGTTTCTTTCAGCATTATCGGTGCTCGGTGAAGAAAGGGGAGAGCCGAGGTGAGCTTGGTTTCTCGGCACTTGAAAAATATCGTCGCGAGTCAAGATTCTGCCCGGGCTTTGGCATAATATGACCGAGGTTTTCGAGTGGTCCGTGGGTTCTTGCCTTCTTTCTCGCTCTTTTTTTTCACCCTCCTCTATCCCTTCCATCCCGCTCGCCCTCGGCCTCCTTTTCTAATTCCTTCCTTTTTTTCGAACGCCATTATACCTCCGTTCTTACATTTTCGCGATGTCGAGTGCGTACAGGCATTGACCTTTGCCCCCACAAATGAAAACGCGAGGGGGTCCTTTTTCTCCTTTCGAGTGGGTCATACTCTATGGAGAGGCACCGTGTTCCATCGTTGTGATACCACGCTTTTGTCAGTATTACATCGAACTTTTTATTTTACAACGCTAAAGAGAGGTTAGAGAATCGTACGCTTTTCAACTGGTTTCACGGCGATTTGTTATTTTATATATCGTGATCTTTGGATACACACCCCCATTCTGCGTGTTTGATTACTAAGACTACGATAATGAGTTGCTGTATCGCGAAATATTTTCGATTAGATTTTTTATTCGATTTTCAATGATAATCGATAGTCGTTATATGTTTAATTATATTTCCGGTTTAATTAGAATAGTAATTCGTATAAATACGTATATGAAATTATTTACATAATTCAATAACGATTATTTTAATCGTGCAATGCTAAAAATGTTAAAAATAATTAAAAAATAAACTTACGTATATGTTTGAAAAATAGCTCCCATTCCGCCATCTATGTCTCATTAACAGCTAGTCGATTTCTTTTGCTTCATACACACACACACTCTTACACGTAAATATCATTCATACTTCAAATCTCTTTGAAATTCCTAATTATAAATTTCTAATGATAATTTTATAAAAGCCTTCTACGATTAAAATTCAAATCAAATAATCTAACATAATTTCAATCACGTATTATTCACTCATCGATTGAAAAGGTTAACTACGCAATAAGTCATTTCCCGTGATATACAGTTTATAATACATTAAAATTGACTTTAATCTATCGCAATCAAGAATATTTTTAAATAAAATTATACACAAAATATATTATTGCCACATTTTTATAACGATTCAATCAAACAAATAATTATTCACGACGATCAAGAACACCTTGCACGCGAGAACGTGAACGGACACTCGTATCCAACTTCACACTGATCGATTCGCGCGTTCGATATTCTCGGTCGATTCGTTAACGAGAAGAAGAATCACGTTGTTCCCGCAAAGCGCTCTGAGCGGTCTCGTGAAAGTCATTAGTCCTGTGAAAGCGTACACGGAAAGAGTGTTACTTCTCTAACGCGAGTGCGGGTGACAATAATGATTAGAAGTGGCTCTCGCAATGGCAGCCTCTCTCTCGAACAATAACGACGGGACGCCAGTGAATAAAGAGGCAGCCCCTGTGCAGCACCGATTTATCCATTGCGGTTAAAACCAACGCTCCACCTTCGAGATTGCGGGAGGGTATGGACACGTACTGGTAAGTACCATTGCACGCATATAATCACACGTGTATTCTTTTGCACCCGATTATATCGCATACAATCACCAGCGGCTACGCAAACCTATATTTATTTAGCAGCTGTTGCCAAAATGCGTTACAATGAAAATATCGCCCCGGTGAGAAAATGCGAGCTTGACAGCAATTCTTTTGTGAGTTTTGAAACGACCTCTGACGAGCAATCGTGTCGCGTAACGTTATTTGAAAACGTTTAAACCTTTACTTTCGAGCTAAAATTCTTTTCTCGTGGATTTAATACGTGGATATAATAAAGTAATTCATTGTGAATTTGAATTATATAGAAAATTGAACTCGATGTAAATGTTTTGTCCTTCTGTTTCTTGAAATGATTACTACGCAGAATGTTGCGTCGTATATAAACATTCGAAGAACTGTAGAGCGAGAATTTTTTCTCTCGATTTAATACGTAAATATATGAGCAATTCATTGTACACGCGAGGCATACGAAGAATTTTTTCCTTGTTTCTTCTGTGGTATTCAAAACAAATATGTGTCATTTAGAAATTTATGAATTTCTGCAAAAGAATATACGTGTACACATAAATATATAATAAGATGATAAAATATGAACAATAGAAACTCATTTTTCGTCTTCTTAATTACTTTGCTGATCGATATATTATAATTGTCAAGACTTGTTATATAAATACGACTTGATCTCATTCAATTAACATTACGAATAGCATTTATGAACTATCGTTATTGTAACAATACAAAATCACGTAAGAGTTTCTATTGTAAATTAATTATCATTAAGTGACACAAATTCTTAATTACGTCAAAGTATAAAACCGACGACGCCATATTTTTCTTTGGCGCGACTTACGAATTCCTTATCCCATCTCAAATTACATAATTTAAATAATTATTCCATGTCAACTTGAAAAAAACAGAATAAAAATTTTATAACAAAGAATTCAATCAACGATTGTATGGGGGGAAACAGTGTGTTCCGAAAATTCGAACCGGAAAGTATTCGCGACCGACGATGCGATTATTAATGGCTTGCGATAGACGATTAATAAAGCCGGAGGGGTGGGGGGAAAAAAAAGTATTCGCCGGTAGGAAAAGCGATGGCGGGAAAAACAGCCGGTGTATTTGGCGACTAGTTGTCCATAAGCCTACACAATTTACAATAGCATTGTTCGCGACCGGCCAGGACCACCGATGATTTATCGAAAATCGTCATTCTGTTCGGTGAAAATTCCTGACTCCCCCCTTCGATGGTGGGGAGGGGAGGGGGGGATGCCTAACAATGAGCTGCTTGTCAACGTCGGACAAATTAATCGAATCAGTGCGCGGATTTACTGCCGTCTACCCCCGTAACCCCTTCTCGCCCCCACTCTATCCCTTGTACACGTTCTCCAGTACCCCTCTCTTTTACTCCACCGCCAAAAAAATGTATATATATGACAGTGTGTCTCCTCGCTCGTTTGAATGCGAATAAATGGCGCTGTATGATGACGATGGGTACGGTGGTTACGGTGAATGGCTTTGGCTGGGACGATGGAGAGGGGAGATTGAGAGAGATGGACGTAGGGGCACGCACACGGACGCGAGAAAGAGATGGAAAGAGGGAAGGGAGAAACACGCAGAGATCGTAAAAGCGTATGTTTTGTCTCCGATTGTGCGGCGATGATTGATGATGCGGTTAATGGTATTTTATTAGAGACACTTTGGAGGGTCAATAGACAACAGGCCTCGATGAATAATAACTCTGTTACGGCATTACTTATTAGGATTACTCGGCGACGTTGTTTCTTCTGTTGCGATCATTAGGATGCTCCACGTCTCGGTCTGCGTCTTTATTTGTTACCGGATGGATATTGTTCGGAATTCTGTCTCGTATGAATAATTAACGCGTTCATGTGTTCCCTAATCGATTGAATTTATGGTAAACGTGAGAAAGTTTGTCATGCGATATATTTATATCGTAAATGATTTTTCTACAAGTTTTTTATTATACTTGAAATATTCATTTTGATATAATAATAATATATTAGATTTTAATCCTTATTTTTTTTTTCAAATTTGTTCCATTTAAACTGAATTGAAATATATAACAAATGTTCTATATTTAAATAATAAATAATGAACAAATTCGGTTATTCAAATTTCAAAATCAAGAATGAATCGTAATGAATATTTCGAGTATATTGATATCCGAATAATTAAATTCGAGTATTCGTAAATCCGAGTGAGAGCTCTACTTGTTGATTAGATTTTGTGAAAACCTTCGGGCAATAATTCTTGATGAAATTAAGTTCCTCGAGAAAGATTTTTATTTGTTTTATGATTACCAGCTATATTTACCTATCTAGGACCAAGGGAAAAATCGATTGACTATCCATAAACTTACGGTTAAGATTATAGCTTGCCGTTAATATAATAAATGTCGATTTACTGCTGTTTGACTTATTACAAGCGGGTTCGGTTTATTGGCCATTTCATCTTGAAATAGCAAGCTTATTGGGATGTCCGTACTTTGCGCGGAATTAATTAGATGTCGGTAAAGAAAGGTCGGCACGCGTTTGAATCCTCACAAAATAGTTTTTTTTTTTATCAATATAATATATAATCTTTTCTTTTGTTTAAAAAATACTCGTTTGAATAAGATTTATATGCAAGGTTTACAAATTAAAAATTTATAAAGCGCATAAGCATATGTATAAACATAGTGAAATATTCCGTTATACCTCTCAGCATCCTTTGCCTTGACAATGATCCTGCAGCGACAAAATGACTTTCCTTTCATGAATAATGTTATTAACCTTGAAGGTTTTAATGATTGAGTGGACAAAGAATATCTTTTGAATACCACAAAATTTCACAAAATTTTTCTATCGAATTATGTTACTGGTCAAGGCTACGAATTGCATAAATAACGCGTATATTTTAGTAAATTAAGATAGAAAATAATCAGGTAGAGGAATTTAAAGGCAATAAAATATATAAATAGTATCCAATTCCAATATTTACGTTCTCGTGTAACTGTTTTCTATTAAATAAGGAAAATCGTCCAGTGACGACGACCAGTTTACAATCAAATCGATCAACAGATTGATTTTTACTTTTTTCATCGGATTTTAATTTCTTTTTCTTATAAAATATAACATTACGTAATAATTAAACTTATTTTTATTAAAAAAAAAAAGTTTCAACATTTAATGAAAGAAGTGAAAATCAGTGTTGTAAGCTGATCGATTCTTTCCTAATCTGATTACGCAAAAAATAGTTATACGACGTAATAATTCGTACCCTCGAGTCAGTAAAATTACGAAATTGAGAAGACCATTTTTGTCCCCCTCCCCCCTTTTTTTTCGACCATTGACTAGACAAAGGAATTGGCAAAAAAACGATTAGGTTAGGTCCGAATATTATCCAAGGTCGGGATGTTTCATTATTTACTCAATTTTTCAAATTTATGACATTTGAAGTGATCGCTGTTTAAAGAGCGACAATCCTATTTAAAAGTGAAAGCCGTAAAATATTTATGGTGGTACGTGTCACGTTCAAAAGCCAAATAAGCTTTGAATTTCTTCTAGGCAATTAATTAATTAATTTAATTAGAGAATGAAAAAATATAGATAATTGTCCTATGATTTTTTCCTCCTCTGTAATATATAAAAATTGTTAGATATTAATTTATTTAAATTTGTGCCGTTAGAGGATATTGGAACGTATCATCGATAAAAATATCAACGGTGGATGTAATTAACGAGGAAGACGATGCTTTCACACGACGAAAGATCTTGCGTCATAATTACAAGAAATAAATTTATCAAAGAGGAGAAATCATTAAAACGCGAATTTCTCCGAGCCATCCTCTCGTCTCTCTCTTTCTCTCTCACTCTCGGGTACTTTATTTCTCGTAAATACCTCCTCTCCCCTTCCCCGATCTCTGATATATCACGTTGATTTTAATCAACGAATTATACGGCATCACGGTGGCAACCGATCAAACGTGTCTGCTCCCCCGTACAATAAAGGACACTCTTTAACTGGAGTCAAATTATTAACACCCTTGCTCGCGATCGAACGAAACTAAATCGTACGTGATAAATCACGTAACGAAAGAGGGGGGAGAGAGAGAGAGAGAGATAAAAAACAAAAAAGAAAGAAACACGCGTGTTCGGATACACGATTGCGTATTTGAGGGAAAAAAAAAAAAAAAAAAAAAAGAAGGAAAAGGGAATCGGATGCTTCAAAGTATCAGAGATAGGGTAACAGATAGTCAACTATCAGAGGCTCCCGAACGGTGAAAAAGGCCACTCGAATCGCGTCGAGGGAATGATATCGGCGATATTTCAACCGGTGCCTCTAATTAGAAAGAGGTCAGTAATTAATGCTAATTGGACGTCGTAATTATCTGCGGATTGTGCACGCCGGGTTCGTCTGCCGCAATGGCGGCTTCCACGTTTTATTTCGCGCCGTGGGTACTGACTTTCCGCGACAAAGTCGACGTTTGATCCGTGGTTTCAAAGCGGAGGGAGGCGAGAAAGGAAAAAACGGCGAGGAGAGGAAGAGAGAAGGAAAGAGAAAGAGAGAGAGAGGGAAAAAAAATGGCAAAAGGTAACGCGAAATAATGAACGATATCGTTC